AAAAAAAAAAAAAAAAAAAAAAAAAAACCCCCCCCCCCCCACAAAGGTAAAATAAGTTGTGCGAAGAGCACTGCTGCATTGTTAATTTACATAGCCAGGAGAAACTATCTCAAAACACACACACGCAATGAAAAAGCTGCTACTCACTGAATTTGGCAAGGGGTCCACATCTACAAAAGAAACTTTCTTGTCCATTGTAGCTGAGCGCTGCCTTGGCTTAGGCTGTGGCCTCTAAAAATTAAAAAAAAAACAATCTTGCATCAAAGTGGAACCACCAAAGTCCAGAAGAACCTTTTCTGCCTGAAATTGTTTACTTGCAAGAAAAATGCCTTTTCTTCTTCTCTCTCAGATGATTTTATTTTATTTTTCTCTGACCTATAATACTAAATAAGCCTGGAATGTTTTCTAGAGCTCTTTTCCCAGAAAGATCTATCTGACTCTACTTTAATTTCCTAAACATTCCCTATGAATATTCTAGCGACAATGCTAAAGAACACTGATTAGAGTTGGGATGCCTGAGAAGTAAAACTCCCATTTTCCCCCATTAAACAAGTAATTACAGATAGTCTTTGTTTAGTGGCCACAATTGGGCCTGGGAACTTGGTTGTTAAGTGAAGCAGTCACTAAGTGAAACCTCGCCTGGGCTTACGATCTTCCTTCAGCTTTCCTTTGCTTTACAGACCTGCAAAGGTCATAAATGCGAGGATTGGTTGCAAAGTTACTTTTCATCACTGTCGTAACTGCGAATGGTCACTAAACAAGTTGGTCACTAAACGAGGACTACCTGTATACCCAAACTTTCTGAAGGATCATCCAGATGACTTCTGAGTTGCACTTCCCAACAGTGTAAATTCAGAATCATCTTAAGTCCAGAAAAGAAACCAGAGTATCTCAAAATTCTGGAACATTGGCAAGTGGGGGATAAGGACAATAAAAGCTGTTGTTTTTTGATGGACGAAGAGCTACTTATAAAGCTGCAGAATTTGCCTGAAACCACTCAGCTGCAAACTTGCATTGAAGGTCGTGCATGTAGCAGTAAAGTAGGAGGGCAGTCTAAAGGGGGAGGGCAGAAAAGACACACCCACATGCAGCCCCCCCCATGTAGGGGGTGCTACATGTGGTCCATAGGATGCTCACTCCTGATTTAAAAAGAGAGAAAGGGATGTGTGATAAGTGAACAAGGGAGAGGGAATCTTTATGTGTTCTAGAAGAGCATTTCCTAATCAGGTCCTCTGTGGACAGAGTGGACTAGAAGTCTCATCAGCCACATTTATATCTAGAGGGCAGCCTGTTAAGAGAATGCAGCTCTAGAATATAAGGAAAGGCTGAATGAAATACCATTACTGATGATGAGAAAGATGGAGCCAGCAGTGGACCTTCCCCTTGCCCCTTCACCGGTTTCTCATTCTGGATGTAATCTGTGAGGTTTGCCGCTACAATTGAACCGGCTGGCTGAAGATAAGTCAGCTTCCATTTCAGTTCAATGTTAACTGTCCCAGCAGGACAACCTTCATAATCTGTTAACTCAAAGGTCCCTGAAAATCAAATGCAAACATGAACATATTATATTCATCTTCCTAATATTTGGGTTGCAGAAGCTGACAAAACAGATTCCATAATTAAGTTCTGAATCAATCAAAATTAGCCTTTGCTAAACTGGGTACTCTGCAATCCAGCAGTATGCAACAATAATCTTATGGGATGACTCTACAGCCTGGTTCACACAGAAAACAATAATGTGGCTAGTTTACTTTTGATTTAGCAGGTGTGAATCTACCACCTATGGATTATTGTAATGGGTGAAATGGGCTTTTTAGCAAAAATCCTGGCTTGGTGTTATGTTTGAACTCAACCTATAAGTTTAAATAACTTACCCTAATAGCTGTGGCCTATGCTGGCACATTAAGTAGCATGGTTAAGAACCAGTCTGGTCAAAATATTACAGAGATTTATTTAAAAAGTATATCTGAGTAATCTTTCATCTTGGAAAGACTTCTTAAGGGGGGTTGCAACATAAAACACAAACCATTTTAAAACAGGACATGCTTAAGATACCTCACAGAACAAAATGCAAAACTTAATATGTGGTTTAGCAAAGGGGCAGGATCTTACCTGAAATGCATTTGCCATGGGCTAATGAAATTAAAGGCACATTTGCTTTTCCTACGTAAAGCCCATCTTCTGTTTCACCATCATCAAAAACATATATATTCAAAAATTCAGATTTTAGATAGCGGTCAAGATCGGCATTCATTGGCACTGGGAAACACATATGATCGTCAAACTGAGGGTGATTGCTGCTGGGAATGATGGCAGTATCGTGATCTGGAAAGTCAAAGAACTTGTAGACAACATAAGGACTTGGCTGGAGATTGCTCTTTCGGCCTGGCAAATCGTTACAACTTTTTACTGTAATGTGGAGTTCGTTTAAGTTTCCATCTATTGAAGTGCTGCCTTGGAGAGAACTGAGTACTGGCTATTATAACAAGAAGGAGGAGAAAAATATTAATTAATGGCTGTTTGATAGATTCCTCTTTTTAACAGCAAAGGGAGACTTCTATCAGTAGACTGAATTGTACCCAATCTCCTGACATAGCTCCTAATAATCATAAGAACCACTCTGGTGCAAAAGAGTATAGCATATGCCTTAAAATTCTTATTTAACCTTTAAAGCTTGTAGGGTGATCCTGTCTTAATCATGCTGCCTCAACCAAACCACTTCACTAATTTATTTTGAGGACAAAAGAGGGCCAGGAAATTAAATAGGCTAGGCCAAGTTTCTTGAAACTAGGAAGCAAGCAATTTACAGACTCCAGCTGGGACATTCTAACTTTTAGGAGGTTTGTGGCATAATTTCTTAACTTGCAACTTCGTTTCCTGAAAAGATAGGAGAAATGTTGACTGTTCCTGAAGCCTGATCCTAACTTCCAAATGTCTCTACCAGTCAACGTTTTAGCCACCACTTTTTTAAAGGAGGGCAAACAAGAGAATGATAGTCTTGTCTGCCATGCAGATTAAGAAATCTGATTGTCTGTTTTCCCCACATTCTTCTAGGAAAACTAGCAACCTGCCATACAGCCTCTTACAGTCTTGTAGGTCAGTTACACAATAGGAATTTCAGTATAGACAGGCTGAATGAATCACGGAGAACCATGGAGAAATAGCTCTCCTATTGCTCTGAGGAGCCATGTGGAGAGATTTGGGCTGTATGCATGCATCAACATGCTTTCTTAGTCTTGATGTGACATGTGAACTGGTCCATAGTTTCTTCTAGATCACCTCCAGACAGGCTCATCTCCTGCTTGAAAAATTGTAATATATGCTTCTTCGTATTTAATCAAATCCTGCTATAATTCAAAGTAATCTGAATCTTTAGCCATGTTGATAAAACTATCAGTAGGAACATCTACAGTAGTTCCTTGTGTAGCTGGAAGGAGGACACACACTAGAATTGCCACCATGATAGAACAGGAACTGAAAAAATAGTGAACAACTCTACAAACTTAAATCTAAACAAAGCAATATGCCTTTGTGACTCCAGCATCAATGGATACATAAAGAGAATTGCATTTGAGGTAACAACAATAATACAACTAAATAAAACTGAAACTTGCCTGATCCTTTAGATTTGCTGCAATATAGCCAAGGGCTTTTGCCCGTTCTTTGTATAGCCTGATTGCTTGGTCCATGGGAACTCTTAACCTGACCCAATATTCCACTGTGCCATAATTTTGGATTTCTCTTCCCATGCCTATAAGTCAAACGTGTGATAGATCATGCAGATTTGCAAGGTCAAATATTTTAGCCTCATAGACATTATTTGCAATCATGGCAAAGCCAACACAGAAACCAGATTTCTTATTTTGAGATTCAGTTTCTTCAACTGAACAACTCTCTCTAATTATAGTATCAGTCACTCAACAAAGGACAGGATTTTGTTTTTACAGGATCTCTGTATGATAATGGGAATAATTACATGCCAGAGTTAAGATAGGATTCTGTGCTATCTAGGCTATGGAAGATCCTATATTAATAAATGTAACTCACTTCTCCTCAATGGTACTTAGACATAACATGAAAGCAGTTCTGTTTTGTCAGATCCATAAGCATGACCAACTTTTGACAATGTCATTAGTCCCTTAGCCATTTAATAGAATGAATAAATAATTATTGATGAGTTCAAATTTGTGCTTTCAGTTAAAGCATATTTTAATGCTTTGTAGTTTTCAGTGTAAAAGGGTCATGGGCCTTAAATAGGCAACAATTAATTATGCAGACTACAATGGCAACTTCATATTGCCATGGGATTATTGAAACAAGACCTGGCTTATACATGGAACATTCCAATGTCAATGTGGAGGCATTCATAATTAACAAGCATCTATTACCCTTTTTCCCAATTTCTCCATATTTTAGTGTGCACTAAACTTAGTCTACCAATCTTAATGATAACAGCACGGAATTGGTTTAGCTACCTAATCTATGTCAACAATAACACCAATTTTCTCTAGTTATAGCAAAAGAAATGCTACTTTTTCATCTGAACATAAGCTAGTAAACATGCATTTATAAATGCATGATCAGTTCAGTGACACTAATTCATGGATTAGCTTCACTGAAATCCACATAACTTAATCATGAGTACATGTGCACAGGATTGCAATACTGCGTCTTTGATTTCTAATTTAAGAAATCACTCATTCACCAAAAAGGCCAGATGGATTTAGCCTTCCTCAACTTAATGCCTCCTAACTGGGTTGGACAGAAAGCCCCAGACATCACAGTAAGCAGCACAATTAAAAAAAAAAAAAGCCAATATAATCCAGAGAGCATTAGTTGGAACATCCTGATTTAGGTAACCGTAGGTGCTGGTTGCTAGAAGTATAACATTTGGTTTTAAACATAGTTACCATAGCAATCAAAAATGCAACTGCGACATCAATAAGCAGCACTTACCAATTAAGATGGCAGAACTGCAGATTCTACCATTTTTTTCCAGAACTTCATGGAATCTTAGCTGACAAGCACCTGCTGTTTCGAAGTCTATGCCATAGGCAAGGTGGATTTCAAGGGTGGTAGTACTTTTCTGCAAATACTGCAGAAAGAAGTCATCTACCCTTACAAGATACTGAGAAGTGAAATTATAGGCTGGGCTGAGGCCTTGAACAACTGGAGTTGTCTGTAGTTCAAAATCATAAAATGCATAGGTACAGAACGTGGCAGGCTCTTGATCGCCGAAAGATTTGGTGGCTTCTGCAGAAAATACAACTCTGCTGATGTGAATCTCAAACAAGTTCTCCCCTCTTTCTAAATGAGCAGTTTCATCAAACTCATCCATGGGATCATCTGCTATCATTTCTGGTCGAAATTTGTACTGTTTGGTACCATAAGCGATATCCTTCAGCTGGGCTATAAGGCAAAGAATAGGAAGTGGATATGACTTAATTGGGTGTGGAGGTTAATTTCTTCCTTGCTGCTTCTGCAAAATTTGATGATTCTATTCCTTATATCCATAATTCACATGAATACATTATATGTGCATTAAGAAACTAGAACTGCTGGCAATAGTCAAAGCAGTTAACATGGCTGTTATTTTTAAAATTTTATCTTCTGCTGTAAAATCAGCTCTGGCCAATATACCTTCCAATTTTTGGATACGTGCAGCTCTAACGTCAAGAAGGTGGACATATTGTTCCAGTTTTAACTCATAATCTTGCTGTGAAACCTCCATCTTCCGTGTCACAGATTCCACTTCTGCCTGATGATTCAAGGTAGAAAAGAATTTAAATATTTATGCATACAATCTATGCTTTGTGTAAAGCAGAGTTCACCAATATCCAATGAATATCCTTCCCCCCAATACAATAATGCAATCATTTTTCAAATTGTTGAAATGTTGTGAGATCAGCAAAATCTCACAAAATGCCATACAGAAAACCCAAATGTCATGGGCTTTCATCTTTTTGGGAGGAGACGGCTTCCCAGAACTTTGAGCAATAGCACTCAGGAACAAGGAAAAAACCAAGCTCAGTGGAATGGAATTGGGAGAAGGCTGTGTCTCTGTTATGTCACAAATTATCTTGTAATTATTCAGGAGAATGGGGAAGAGGTTGACCGCAAGCCTCAGCTTAGTCCTTCATTTGCTGAACTGGGAAACATTTCATGCAACATTCTGCAGACATGGCAAGATTCAGTCCTGTAAATATATAGGATTTACCCTTTTGGGTTGGTGGCAGGATTAGGGCAATTCACTCTTTCGGTTGAAGAAATAGAATGGTAGAGGAATGCAAGAGGTTATGACTGATGCCTGAATATATTTGGAATAGGACCTACCTTGGTAAAACTTTGACTTCATGCCCGTTTGTACTATGCAATTTCAGTGTTGAGCCATTTATTCCCACCACTAAACCTGGCTTTTAAAATCCCTTATTTGCTGGGCTTCAGTAGACCCAAACATTTAATTTAATTAGCCTGGGGTCCTGGTCTGCAAATCACATGATAACTTTGCATATAAACTACTTGTTAAAAAAAATTGGGAGGGGTGATGCATGCTGGAGTAAGATTATTAAATGAAGAATTTATTTCAAGAGTGAAGTCTGATAGAGTTCAACTCATTAAGATTTGGTTAGTTACCATACAAAATATTGCATTCATTAATCTTCATCATGAGATTTTAGAAAAAAGTGAGGAAAGCACAATGACACAGATACGTAACACTCAACTGCAGTGAGAAAATTCAATACCTGATAGTCTTTGTTGATTTTATGCTGCACAATTAACATATTGCGTGTCTTTTCAAGTTCTTGAACAGTTTCTGCATGAACTGCCTGAAGATCACGCAGGGAACGCTCTAAATCCTTATGGACGTCATCTTCTACTTTCCCCAAAAACACAAGGTCTCCACTTGCTTGCTGTCTATGAACCTAAGCCATAAAAGTTGACAGCTTCATAATTAGTTTAAAAAAAAAATATTTCATTTTAATTGTAATAAATGGACCTCTCTCTTTTCGGCATTAAAATAAATCTATGTTAAAAGACCAAGCTTCTATATTTCTCAGTGCTCTGCAGGAAAAATAGAAGGCAACTCAGAACTAATTAGCAATCTGCTTTGAGCCAAATCCTATACATCTTTATTCAGAAATAAGTTTCAAAGGAGTTCAAAGGAACTCAAGAATCATTTCAATGAGAGCTGGTATGGTATCTGTAGATAAAAACTGAGGCTGCAAATTTCTGCATATCTAAGGTAACAGAATTCACCTCTAGTTAGTATTGTAAACCAAATTACAAAGCTCCCAGTCACAGGAATTAATAGTTTCACCCTGTTCTGTCAATTTTCTATATCTCTGTGTGCAGAAATGCATTACTCGGATACACACAAAACATATACATGGTATTTACCTACACCAGAACAGAGGATAATGCATAATCTGTTGTGGACTAGAGACTGGACAGATTATGCCCACTTCCTTAACCTGGTGCTTCTCCAGATGTGCTGAGAATTCCCATAATTCTCATTGGCAGTGCTGGCTGGAAATTATGGAAACTGAAATCGTACACATCTGGAAGATGTCAGGTTGGGTGATGCTATGCCAGATTTATTATCCTTTTCAAGGTGCTGCAGATGACTTTGTTGGTTGGGTCTGATGTTAAACACAGGTCCAAAATAATGAGAAAAATACGCTGTGCTTATAGAACGCTGGACTTAAGCAGTGTGCATCCAAGATGATTCAGGCATGTTCGTGCCGTACATATCAAAGAACACAATGAGAATTTTTCAAGCGCAACTCTGTTTAAAGGAACAGGAAGATCACCCACACTGATCTCAGGTCACTTTGGTTCACTTTTCCCAGAATAATATTCTCTAAGAAAGGTACATTTCGGGGGAGAGGAAAAACAAACAAGCCAGTTTTTCTTATGGAAGAGACTGCTGCGATGTCAATACTTTAACAATTCATTACAGTGGGGGGAAGAGTACCCCAGTGAAACTTTTCTATACTTGTTCAAGAACGGTAAATTCTTCCGATCCAACACAGAAGCTTTCAGAATTTTTTTTTATATCCCACAGAATCTGCAGTTGTCTTGATGAAGCCTGCAGTGGGATAACGTGGTTACAGAAAGCCCAATCTTTAGGCAAAGGGGGTTGGAGAGAATCCTTAAGGCAGTGTTGTCCAAACTTGGCCACTTTAAGATGAGTGGATTTCAACTCCCAGAATTCCCCAGCCAACTCTGGGAGTTGAAGTCCACTCATCTTAAAGTGGCCAAGTTTGGACAACACTGCCTTAAGGCAAATCTGCGCAGAACAGGAGGGCTTGAAAAGGTGGCTGTAACAGTCTCTGCAGTCTCTTTCAAGAGCATGAGAGCCTCACTGAGTTCGGCCACGGCAGCATCACTCTCCTGAAATAGAGAGACAGTCAATGGGAAGGTGCTTTTTGAGGGAATGAATAATGGAGTGAGAAGATATCTTGCATTCCCATAAAACATGAGATTCAGCTGGACAGCATGAATAAATAAACAGTGCTGTTTCCTCAGTTCTTTGTTTGGGCTTTTAAGAAAGAAGCATTTGCATAAAATATAGAACACTTCCCCCCTTTTTAGTCATTTTCTAAACAAGGAGAAAAAACTTCACCTTGGTGAAAAAATTCACGCGGTCCTTCAGCTCTTCCAGCTGTTGCTTCTGCTCTAGACAGCACGTTCGTAGCTCTTGATTCTCCTGGGCCAGCTTTTCATTTTGGTCTCAAAAGGGAGGGAAAAAAACCTTTTTACACCCAGCAGAATCTTAGAAACTCCAACCGTGGTCTTTCAGTCTACTGAACTTGCAATAAATTTATATTAAGCATAGGTATCAAATGCAATGCTGTGTTTAAGTCACTTCTTTCTCCTACGTTGATTAGAATCCAAGAGCTAAGGAAGAAATGCTCAACTTTCACAGCCCTGCAGAAATCAGGGGAATTTTTAGAGAAATGTTTGATGGCTGCACATGGAACTGTATGGGAAACAGAATCCAAAATTACTCAAGACAGTAATTTTAAAATTATTAATTGAGGAAAAGGTAAGCCCTATAAATAAATATACTTAAAGAAAGGGATCATCCAAAATTTCCCACACAAATCTTGGGGTAAGGGCATTTAAAACCCACCCTTGCTCCTCCCACTTTGTCAGCTGCCCTCAATTGTAACTGAGTTGTCACTCCTCCTCTGATCCGTACAGCAAACCCTATTTGCTTTCTGTATGGTTCCCAACCTTTTCTATTGCAAGGACAGGGAACTGGAGTGGGCTGTGACTTGCCATGATCAGCCCGTGTGTCTCTTTTCCTCACAATCATTTACAAATTTGGCCACCTGGGCTTTAACACAAAGCAACTCAAGGAAGCTACCTCAATCAGAACTTGGGGTGTGTACTTTTTGCACTTTTACAGCAAAAGCAAAAAAGTAGTCTTGCTCTCCTAACTTGTCTGCAGCTTCAGCTACAAATGCAGAAAATAAGGGGAGAAAATGAGTTACATCACTAAATATATAGTATATAATATATGATGTATATAAATACATCAATAAATATGTGTGCATGTATACGTACGTGCATTTCTTATACTGGGGATAGAGAACTGAGCAACAAAGACAATTCAGTTGATTGAATCCTGGGTAATAGGATTAGAGTAGTCTGGAAGTTAAATATGTCATTTTCAGTTCAAACCTTTCTTTCCTAGCTTTCACTTGCAGGGAGAGTTCTTGTGTTTTCTAATGTTTAAATCTAGAGCAGTGTTTCTCAACCTTAGCAACTTTAAGATGTGTGGACTTCAACTCCCAGCATGCTGGTTGGAGAATTCTGGAAGTTAAAGTCCACACATCTTAAAGTTGCTAAGGTTGAGAAACACTGCTCTAGAGGGACGTAATAAAATGCCTACTGGAAACTTATTACCAAAGATTCAATCAGTTCTACAGGCTTCTATGCCAAATATGAGGCGACAGAGCGGACTACATCCTTTCTACTTATAGATGAGGATGGTCACATCTTTAGAATAATCCTCTGCAGAGAGCAACAATTGATTTTTTTTTTTAACCATCCAGGGATTTTATAATTTTACAGAGTTGCATATTCAGATCCAGTGTTTGTGCAGATGTTTTGACCATTCAGAAAGATAAGAAAGCAGGCTGTTTGTAGGAACAACGTTAAGAAAACTTTCATCTGCAAAACTCTTCTAAGGGACATATGTAGCTTCTGGGGAGAGGATTTGGGGTTTAATTTAAAACAAGATTCAGCACTGAGTACAGAGTCTTACGCTCATAAAAGAACAGGGACTTAGCAACGATTAAGATAATCTACTGATAAAACAAACAGCTGTCAAAACCTGTTTGTGCTAATATCATCATCTGTAATCAATACATGCAGGGTGCTGACCCATGCATTCCATGTTAAAGAGAACTGGAAGACAAAGATTCTTAAGCCTGCAATTAATTTCAGCACTAAAACTGTATTGAAATGTTCCAGCCAGAAGGATGATAAAACCTGAAACTAATCTGTAAACTGAAGAGAGAAAAAGATGAAGGGGGGGGGAGCAGATGAGTGGGAAGCAGGCAAAGAATTTAAACCAGTTCTTACTATCCAAACGAATGCTTGGAGTTTCAGAACGGCTCTCCACCAAAAGGTAAATGAAATCAAGAGAGAACAAAACAAGAGAAGGAAGCTTGGTCTGTTAATTGAGTTTAGCTGGAGAAGACAATCGACTCCAAAATCAACTTATTTCTTTGGTTATTATTTACTCAGGGTTCTGTGCTGCTCTAATACAGAACAACAATTAGAGGTAAGGCTGGCATCCCCTTTTGTGGGGATGGGAGGATTTGCAAAGAGAATCATTAAATCAAGCGAGCTCCTATCTGCAGCTGTAGTACAATTCACTCCAGGTTTACATCCTCGTTGCTGTTTTGAGCAAACTAGGCTACACAAAAATATACAATCCTGAGGGTACGGTTCTGATTTTGTCTTGATCAGGCACAATTGTGCCTTTTCTCATTTCAATATTATCACCTCCCTTCTGCCCCAATACTAAGTGAAATGTGAGACTAGTGTAGAAAGTAAAACCGGATGGCCTAAGTTGGTTTTCTTGCATCTATATTCTATCACAGTGTTTCTCAACCTTAGCAACTTTGAGATGTCTGGACTTCAACTCCCAGAATTCCCCAGCCCGCATGCAGGCTGGAGAATTCTGGAAGTTGTAGTCCAGACATCTCAAAGTTGCTAAGATTGAGAAACACTGTCTATGAGGACCTTCTGTCACTGTCTATTCAGGGCACCTGAGGCCAAACTGTGGGAATCAAGGGGTAGACCAAGTGTTTTGTACCAGAAGATCCACGGCTACTAGTTAAAATGGTTTAGTAGCAGGTGACAGGAAGAATGCTCTCACTTTCACCGTGAGCTAATCAGACAAATTTGGACGAGGAACCTGACCTGGCACGCAGCACCTTGGTTATGTTCCTGGATGTGCTCCATTACTTAAAACCTGAAAACATATCTGCATACTTTGCACACAGCCGCTGTTATTTCTCTTTGCAGTGGTGTACCTCGTTCCACTTTTATTCTGTCCAGAATATTGTTCTTTTCTGCTAAATCTGACTTTAAAGCCGCCTCGAGCTGACCGATCTGCAGTTTCAGCTGCTGCTCCTTCAGCTTCCACTGCTGGTCGTGGGTCACACCGAAGGCGCTGAGAAATGTAATACAACAAAGGAAAAAAATAAAATGAAAACATAGACACGCACACAGGCAAAAAAACCTCTTCGCTCTCTTAAGCACACTACGTGGCATGGGAGGGCCTCTCCGAAATTGTCTTCCACCAGGACTAAAGCTGGGAGGCAGAGCAGGGAAAGGAGAGTGATCTTAACGACAGAGACGGTTGTCATCATGTCTTGGGAATTAAGCAAACGCATGCTGGACGGCTGCTGTTCAAGGCGCCTTTCTCAGCCTGCAGTAGTGGAACATGAAAGGCTCTGCGGGATGAGCAATGGGGTTGGCCTCAATTTGGAGCTGCTGAGCCAGGAGCACCGGCTGCCTGTGAAAGTTTCTGGGGGCTTGGAAAGGAATTTGGAGCTCTGCTCCAGAGGAATCCGCTACTCCCCGGCAAACTTCACAAGGCTCCGTGCAGAAAGCCCCATAAGGAACGGGGTTGTGATTACCCACCTAATGCTCTTTCAAGAACCGGGGAGGGGGAAGGGGAGGGAGGAAGCCCGGAGGCAGTGTCTGCCGAAAGAAAGGCTGGCCACAAAGCAATGCGGTTCCCGTATGATAAAAACAGCTCCTTCTGAAACGTATTAAAGGTCTTTGTACTTTCACAGCCTTAAATGAAAAGCGTATTCAGTGAGTGGGACCGAGGAACCTGGAGCAGAAAAAAGGAAGTGGGGCAGAAAAGGCCATTTGCTGTATTAAATGTTTCGCAACTCGCAGCCTGGCAGCAACTACGGGGACTACCGCTGGGTGCTTTTGCCTTACGGGAACTGGGAGAGCATTTCCAGCAACGGAGGTTCAGTGTTCAACCGTTGTTCAGCTTCAGCAGCAGGAAGGCCTTTCTTTCTCAATGGTTTAACCCCAGAGGAGCAAGGGTGGCTGCAGAGGAGCTACAGAACTGGTTAGGGGGATCTCTCAAAATATTCCCCGTCCAAATTTCTCCCCAGATTTCTAGAAATGGGGGGGGGGAAGAGCTGGGTTGGGAAAACTTATCAGCTTTCTCTTTCAGGATTTTGTCTGGAAGGCTGAGGAGTTCGTGCGTGGATAGAACCCCTCCTGAAAGAAATGCAATTCTATATATAGGGATGGCAAGATTATTTTTGACACCCTGTGGTGTGTCAATTTGACACCCCGATGTGTGTAAATTTGAAGCTTGTTTGCATTTCGCATTTCAGCTAGATGCTGGGCCTGCAGATCACTAAACCTCCTCGCGAGAAAGAAGGATGTACCTGAGAATGCACTTCCACCCCCCCCTTTTTTTCTTCTGCATTCTTAAAGGTTTTCTCAGCTCACACACACATGCTGGTAACACACAATGGAAAAGAGTGAAATGTGCAAACAGTGGCAACTTTAACGGGCTGGACATGACTGCTGAAATTCACCGTGGCCCTATTCAGCTATCGGTAAAAGGGGGACCTTGACATAAGAGTTAACAGTTACAATAGGATGCATGGAAGAAATGCCTATAGGATAAAGGCCTCTGCAGGTAGAAACCCAGCCCTGCAACTGACAAACCCAACACACCAAGAGATATGTTGCAAATATATGTGGCTTTGAAATTAAGGAGAACATGGGACATGACATGCAGAACTTTACCCATTCAAATCTCTACCCAATAAAGCCGCTTTTCATTTGAATTACTAAGTATAATAGCGCCCACCCATATTTCCCCCATAATCTCCTCTGCCAGAAAGTATTTTCATCTGCAACCGGAGGCTTCTCCTGTCACCCCGTCTTGCTTCGCAATCAGGTGTTTCCTCATTAAGCCTCTGCAAATTGGCTGTAATGGCTTCAATTTTCTGTTCGGCACCAGAAAATGAATTCAGTGCCCTATCTCATTTCATGTTCCGTGGGTTTAGCTCCCTAATTTTTTATTTATGTGATATTAAGCACTGCTGACAGAATTTACACAGACTATTACCTCGAAGCAACTTTATAGAAATATCAAGCGCAGCCACAGTGCCAGCTCTAGGCATTTTGGCACCTGAAAAGTCAAAACGTCGCTCTGCTTGGGTCGGAACTGGAGTTCACATTTTTCGGGAAATTGAGATGTTGTGGGCTAAGACCTGGAGGCAAAAAAGGGGCACCCAACCCCCCCCCCTTCAATTTGCTGCCTGAAATGGATGGTTCTTCAGCATAGCTTGGAAGGGCAACAACAGGGCAGAGCCTTTTGGAGGGAGGTGGGGGAGCCAAGGGTTTATTGCTCCAGGTCCCACAAAGGGAGAACACTTCAGAAAAGCTGGTCCTTTCAAGACCATAAGGACCATCCCTTTTCCTTCGAATTTAACCAGGTAAATCATGAGCCTAAGAATTATTTCAATGTTTGGGATTTCCTTCGCACCTCCTCTTTACTTTGATGTACAAAAAGAGAAAGACAGTTACATCACATTGAGAAGTATTTATGGTTAAATGAATATTTTGTTTCTGGGCTCGCATGTTCACCCAACGCAACTGAGCCACAAGCTAGTTAGCTACAGTTCAACCTCGTGTGTTTAGCCTAGCATGCTGTATGAACCAACTCATGTGGTTCATATAAAGGTCAACGTGTTGTGTGAACACATAACAATGAGTTAGTAAACTATAGTTAAGTTAAGCATTGGTTAACATGTCTTGCCAATCCAACCTCCAAATCTTCAAAACAAAATAATATCCTGCGGTTCTGGTTTTCCATTCAAAAGAAGTAATGGTAGAAATGTCATGAATTCACTTCGGCTAGAATTCAAAAGTAATTCAGTGAGCAGAAGCCAAGGAGTAGGGTGAGGACTGAACTCTTTCAGCCATCATGCTGTTGGACTGTCTGCTTTTGAAACTGACAGTTACAAAAACAGGTTGTGATACAGTGACTGGTTCACACTTCAACAGTATATGGGTTCCTTGTTTGTGGCATACATGTTGTGTGTGAATGCCATTACTTATGGTTTACTCACCAAATTATAATTACACAAATGGCACCTTATCACAATGTGTACAGTACGGTGGAACAACACATTCCAGGGATCCTGCATTTAAGTGAGTAGCTTTGCTACTAGAATGAAACAGCTGCTAATTTTTGCTGTTGTTAAAAACAAAAAAGGACATATAAATATTTTAGTTTTGTAAAGGTTGGCCAATATTGGTCTTCTAGATGTTGTGGGATTGCATTCCCTTTACCCTGCATTATTGGACATGCTAGCTAAGACTAACAGGAAATGGGAGTTGAAGAACATCTGGATGGCCATGTATTACCTGAGGATTTGCTTACATCCAGCACAATTTCCCCCCTCTTACAATATGTGACCTGCAAGTTATATTGCTGATGGCATTTGCAACCTTCAAACCTTTTCACTGTGAAGTATTTGGGGGCAGGGGGCAATTTATGCTTAGTTCCTGAGATCAAATCCAAGCTTATTGATCATTTTCCAAGGATGCTTTTATTTTTAACAATAATTTTAGCAGAAATAGTGCGCAGGTTAGTGTTTCAGGACTGCTCCTTACCACTACTAAGCTGTGCCATGTTCCTTTATCTCGCCACTTAGTCTCTTCCTTTCCTCTAGCAAGAGCAAAAAGGACAGAAGAGAACAGAACTAAAAAAGATTGATGACACTGCTGCTTGGGCAAGTCACCATAGATCAGGACTCAATCTTGTAAAAGTTAAAGACTGATGTAGTTAAGAGTATGGTCAGCAGTTCCTAAGGGACCATAACGAAGCCGAAAGGAACTTCTCCAATGTATGAATTGCTTAGTTACTCTAGAATGCTTCCCAAAGAATATGTATGGATTCATTAGTGGAAAAGCTAATGTGGACAAGATTCTTGAATCACTGTTCCGGGGAATTAGCAAGCTCCCCCACAACTTCACACATTCATACCTGTCCATGTCATTGAGTTCCAGATTACATACCCATATTTCTGAGTCAGAATATTTTTGCTGATAATATAAAAAACCCCAAAAGTTTAAAAGAAATTATGCAATTAGTTATAGTTTACCTGTTATATAATTTATCATAGTTTTCCTTTAAAAGGTCCCTCTCCTTTTCCAAATCATTAATTCTGTCTTGTAGCTGGAATGAAAAAGAGTGTTACAAATGATTCATTGCATAACGAGAAAGCAACAATTACTAATGTTCAATAGGTTTCCTGGCTAAGTATACGGGCTACATGCATTCTCTGCCGGGAAGGGACTGATGACCGCTTGTGCCATCTTAACTGCTCTGTTGTCACCGAAGGACAAGGCAGATTAGAATGGTACCCCCATCAAAAAGGTTATCAATAATGTTTCACTGACAAACGTGTTCTATATTTCTTTTGGATAAGATAAACACATTGGTAGGTTTACTCATGCTATTTCCACACAGATGATAATTTCACCTCCTCTATGGGTAGGAGACAGATGAGGACTTTTGACCCATTATATGAGGCTTTAGCAGTCACCATGGAAAAGGATAAAAGCCGTGTCCTGAATGGGTGGACCTCTTGTGATGAACTCTAATATATTACTTAGAGGCAAGATTTTTGCAGAGAGGTCCACCAAACGATTGCCCCATTTAGATTGCTCAGATTCATATGAATCCCATTGCAGGGCCATAATAGAAACTGTGGGTGGGAACGATCTACATAGCATGGAAAATATGCAGTGTGAATGAGTTATAAGAATATCAGAGAGTAAATACTGTACGTCTGCCAACATGCATCTGCCAGATCCCTGCTAATGATAAGGTAAATAAGACCAGATTGTTTAAATGATCAGAAACCCTCTAACTGATTGGTCCCTTCCACTGAACATTTTTGTTCCGCTCCAGTCGAGAATGCTGTGAAAAGTCCACATCTCTTTTAAATACCACAGACAAGGTTTGAAGTTTCACCTCTTCTAATCGTCGTCTTGAAAATGTGGTGGCCTGCAATTCTCTCTCAAGATGGAGGCACTTTGAACGCTCTTCTTTAAGTTGCAAATTAAGTTCTTCTCCCTTGGCCATTAGTGCATCATGGCTCGTTTTGAGATTTTTTTGGTTCTACGACAGTGAAAAGGGGAAGGAAAGAAAGAAAAAGAGACATTCGTGCTGGATGAGTAACATTTAGGCTATATTCAGAATCACATAGTTTTGCTCAACGTTTAATATATACAGTAATATCAATTAAGCATTCAGGAGAAGCTCTCACCATGGATGTGATATAGAGACAGCCAATAAGAGTGCAGAATGTGAACCCCTCCTAGTACTGCTGTAATGAGGAAGACTAAGACAGATGCAATTAAACCATTTTCCTGTGATTACTGTGGTCTGGATATGTTGACCAAAAGCACTACAGTAGCAAGCAAAAATGAACCTAACTATAAATGCATCCTTGCATCTCTAGGAAATTCAGTGCTAACCCACCAATTGATAATTTATTTGCTTTGCTCATTCCTTTTCACGGGGTGCACTGCTACAACTGAATTAAAAGAAAGCATTGTACCATCTGAAATGCTTAGTGGGACTTCCAAAAGGTATGCCTCTGCTTTGCTTCTGGCTATTACTGCACAGAAATGTCATGCAAAAAAGAAATGTACAATTCATTCTAGCGGAGGGGGCAAATCTACAGATAAGTTGTGGATTCCAGGAATCAGGATTCCTGGGTCTAGATTAGAAAGCTAAAAGTTTTGCATACCTCCTGAAGCTGAAGTAACTTTTCTTCCACTGCTGCAAATTCACTGCTTTTCTCTATCAGCTGTTTGTGGAGCTTGATCATTTCTACGTTGTCTCGAATGCTTAGCCTCCAAAAAGCATATTTTTTTCCAAAAAGAGAAAATCATGGAAAGATTTGTAATAAAATAACTACCTTGTAAATTTTGTCTTGAAAATTGTAGTCTGGAAGACTGGTTCCTTGTAGCTCCTTAATTCCTAACATAGCCAGGGAAAAGGGAGTGTGGCCAAAAGTCAACTTAATTTCTTTTTCTTTAAATAAATATTGCAGATAGTTAAATGAATCCATGCTTCACTGAGTTTTGAACAATGTTAACTATTTAGACATAATGGTTTATGCCATTAAAATGCGGTAAATGCAGTAGTGAAAGGAATGACCTGATATTTATAAGAGGCAGATAATTTGTTTTTGCTATCAAGCAACTTCCAAACTCTTGCTGTCAGATAATTACTTTTTACTGGTGTTTTCTCCTGGAACTTATTTCCCTCAACTCCAAAAGTATTTCCAAGGCCAATGATTTAACATTTTACATAGATAATACTTTGAGACTGGTATTCAAATAAGCTGCAGATGTATTTTAACACTGACCAGCTTGACCGAAATTCTATATGGCTAAGATTCTGTTATATATTTCCCTTGCTGAGATTCAATGGCAAATTCACAATATAATCTTGTTAAAAGTCATTGCCCAGCTAAGTATAGATATGCTGTCAGAAACATAACATAACTTGATCTTACTATTATTGTTTTTGCATGTACATCAAGCAAAAACAATTTTTAAAGGAAACTCCTTAAATGAGCTTAAGTGCTAATACCAAATAAAGCAGGAGGATAAACATAAGAACAGAATTTCACATCTTGAAATACACTGTATCTCCCCCAATACTTATCTGCTATAGACAGATTGGAAAAATTGTTCCACTGCTGGAACCAGAAATTAGACTACAAAGCTTATACATCTGTAAACCAGCTGAAAACTTGAACTATTTCTCCCCCTCCTTTTTAAAAAATATATTCTTTCTATTTTCTGAGTCCATTGTATTCTGGCATTACCCGGTCAACAGTCCTGACGGAAAAGATTAAGAAGCTTACAAACCAGAACTCCTGCCCAAGAAATGGGTTTGTTGTACCCGTCAAATAAATCGTTGTGGCAAGCTGAGACAACATCACTGCCTGACACGAAGTGCAAAAACTAATGCAATACCGTGTTTTTATTAATCGTGGCTTTTCACATCAAACAAACAACTTGGATGCCTTCAGAGAAGGATTACAAGATCTTCCCTTTATTTTTTAAAAAAAGGAATTAAAAAAAAAAGATGTTTATGATGTGCAGATGTTAGCCTAATAGCTCTTACCTACCAAGTCTAGAAATTCCACAGTGTCCATTGGCCAGGTTCAGATAAGGCAGGAAACTATTGTACAACAAACCATTGTACAAACAAAACCATTGTTGTTCAAACTACAACAGAAAATGGCTGCAAGCTTCAGGCCATCATTGATGGTTTCCTTTTCAAGAAAAATTGCACCTAACTCCAACCCTGCTTTGTTTTTCAGAATCAACCAAGGTCCACTAAATGGTGCTCCACCATTGCCACAAGAGCAATTCTGTATTGTTGTACTGTTTGACATTTATGCATGTATTGTTTCACAAATGTACTTGTTACATTGCTGTGACATTTTGGGGTCTGTTTCAATGTTGTCAGCCAATGGCCTAGTTCACATATAATGCTGGCCATGTGGTTTTGTTTTTTGAATTTGCATGATAGGCTTCATGCATGATCATGAGAACCAAGCTACTATGAATTGTACAGTCATATAGTTAGATAGGATTCTTGTACAGCATTGTATATCTCAGTGTTTCCCAACCTCAGCAACTTTAAAATGTGTGGGCTTCAACTCCCAGAATTTCCCATGAAGTCCACACATCTTAAAGTTGCTGAGGTTGAGAAACACAGATATTTGATCAGTCATTATGAAAGTCCATTAGTTTGGCTGGAGTGAATTTGCTTTGACTAGGACTGCTGGTACTCCCAGATGCACATTGTCACTAAGAAGTAAAGAAAATCCTTTCACCTTCCAATGCAAGTCAGAGAACATTTATACTGAGCAACTGTAATATTTGACTCTAATTTGATCTGATGCCAATTCTGTCTTATCCTACCTTTGGCCTGTTGCTTGCTGCTCTTTCAGTTGAAGGAGAGCTACTTCAAACTCTTCTTCTTTCTTCCTTTTTTCACTTCTTAGCATTTCTACTGCAAGTACCAATTCTTGATTCTGTGACCGCTGTGATTCAAGCTCATTCTCTCTGCAGTTCAACAGAGCCAGATTTCCCAATGAAAAAGCAGAAAGCTTAGACTTAATAGACAGAATATAGAAGGAAAATTATATGTTTAGATGAGGATACAAATTCATAAGTGGTTTATTTTTCTCAAAGAGCAGAGCCAGTTATTCTAAAGAAGCTATTGGAAGAAGCGGACAAAGTTAGAAACATGGGTAAAGATTTTACTCAATCACTGAGCTATTAAGTTAATGTAATAATTGAAGAAACCATATTTTTCCCAAAAGCTTTTCTTGATCAACAACATGTCAACACTGTCTTTTCCAAAACTGCCATAACTGGAAAGCAAAAAACTGAAATACATAAATCATGTCACTGCCATCCAGTCATATGATTCTAGATGAAATATGATCCATGGTCCTATTTAGAAAAGACCCATCTAAACTATCATCTATTGTGAATTACAATTGTATCTGTAGATCGCTGCAATTAATAGCAATCAGTTGCTTTTTACAATGACCAGTCATATTAAACAGGAATCTATCTCTCAGAGCTTTTAATATCCATTTAATCATGACACTTAATACACTGATTTGTATTACCAGGTATATTGTTAAATTGCTACATATAAAAATTCTTTTATCCCATCCAATTATTATTTTGAGCCAAAAGATGAGCTCAACTGGTTCCCTCCAATGAACCCTTCCTAGGTCAACTTGTTTGCTGGGGCTGCGGAAGATACCCTAGAATGCCCAGTAAATACACAACATCTAATTTCTTGTGATAAACTGTGGTTCAATATATTTTAAGTGACCTTGTGAGAATCTTGACCATGTAAATAAGATATAAATAAACAAATCTGAAACCTATTACACCACCTACCCAGAGATAGATACAGTTCCACACACAAACATGCACACATATTTGCACTAGTTATTATTCTAATTATTTTATTCATGCTGTCATTCATTCATGAAATCTTGCTTAATCCTTGGGAAGATGTATTAAATATTTTATTTAAGACAATCAAGGACAGCCAGTGATTAAAGTGTTAGGAGTGGTGAGATTCAGAATTGCTTGGTTGTTTACAATTTAAATTTCTAGTGCTACCCACTCATGGACATTCTTGGGCAAGTTATAAGGATTAAAAGCAAAATTAATACAAGGTTCAAGTCCATCCTTAGCCACAGAAGTTCACTGGTAGCTTTGGGACATTCACCATAATATGGTCATGAAAAACTTTTCTTATTTTCCCAAACTAAAGGGTGAACTTTCAAAAATGTTTAGAAGACTTTCCAAAATACCACAACATCCTCTGGTCTATTGTTACCAGAAACAATAGACTTTGTTAGGATGTTTAAGAATCCACCCCCGTCCCCCAAGTTTACTCTTTCAGCTGAAGCTAGGTAGTGACATGATGGAATACTTAATAACAACCTTGGACAGGAGTTCATAACCTGATGTAATTTCAAGTCCTGACAACTGAAAATCAGGAAAAGTGGAATGGACAGAAGAATCATCATCATCATCATCAATGCATCACATACTAATAACAAGTTGACTGAGGAATATGACAGTCAGATATCTAGATGATTAACATAATGTCCTTATCTCTTTAGAACATAGCCTCCTAAAAGCAGTCACAGACCCTTCAGCTACATTCATGGAAGTGATATTGTGTTCCCCCACCCCACTAACACACACGCTATAAATCCTTTCTGTGAACTGACTACAGTTGGTTCCTATTAACTTGACTAGACCATATATGACCTGAGTTTCTGGGATTATTAAAGGAAACTGACAGGTGCTCAAAGTGGTGATCAAAGGAACAGGGAGTTTATAGCTTTACCAAGTTGTGAAACTGGGTGCCTGCATATGTTTAAAACTGGATCACTTTGATTTGTAGGGATCATGGCAACATCCAACATACAAAGTACAATATCCAACAGGGCCTATGGCTAGAAGTGCTAGTATTGGCAAGCCATTGTGAAGTCCTCAGTTCACAAAAATGCACCCGTGACTAAAATGCTGTAATATCCTTCTGCTATTGAATATGGCCATCACTGTATTTATAAAAAAACAAACCACCAAACAAAACCAACCACACAGACACAAAAGCTGCTCTTTTGTGGTGGTTACTAGTTTTCGTTTTACAGTGGTAGCACTTTGGAAAGACTGTATAAATCACAATCAGTAGACAGATAAAATACCTTTGGCTAACAGTCTCCCGAGTATGTAAACCCGCTTCTTCCTACCATAGTACCACAGTACCAACCAGACATCCAACTCCATTCAACTTACCACTCTCATAGGTTTCTGTTTTAATTAAAAACTGAAAAACTATTGTGCTGTAGAACAAAAGTCCAGCATCATATTTATGTGGGAAAATGTTTCTGGGCCCTAAACAGGTCTCAGAGACATCCTGATAAAATAAAGAGTGGCAGCTTCCATTCAGGGCTTTGTTTGGAAGTGTGATCACCTGCCTCCCTCCCCGCAAAAAAGGCAAAGGTAGGTTGTGGAGATAGAGAGCATCCTGGAGAGATTGGGATGGGCAGAGGAGCACAGAACAACCTCACCAGTTTGACTTCTGGAAAAGGGGTGCTCTGTATCAATCATGCCCAACAAGGCAGCCATTTTGTGAATGGCCAAGCCCACCCCTCCATAACAGCCATTTTTTTGGAAAGTACCTACAACATAGCTTCAACATTCCAATATATCCACTGAACTCCAAAAAGTTAGGGGGCCTTGATGCAAACCGGGAGATGTTCCATGTGAATACATAATGATCCACCTATTCTTCACAGATCAGATGGACATAACCTATTTCTAAAGAGATAAGAACACAATGTTCTGCTCACATGAATAAGTAAGTGGCAGATATGCATTGGGCTTATGCCTAGAATATACTTAGCAGACTCGATTACTAAAAGTAAATTGTGAGCGATTTTTGCCTTCCACAACATGTGAAATTCCAAGCAGGATATGGTGTTCGTAATCAATGTCATGATCAAGGCAGGGTAGAAAAACTTATTCCAGGCAGAGATGCAAGGAAGATGTATGTATTTCCCTGGTTGACTCCCAGTTTCTTTGCCTTGCTTAGTCAACTGGGGCATTATAAAAGTATTAGCCTCAAGAATAACAAAATTCTGCAATTTTAACACCAATACATGAACAATGAGAAACTAGTCAGCTAGACCAAAACCCAATGTGAACTTTTTATAGGAGAACCCAACTTAACTGAGCAGGACTTGCCCATTCTAATTTTTTTACTTTTGTCGAGAAGGTTAACAGGCTGATAAGAAGAGGAGGAGGAGGAAGAGGAAGAATTCCAAAAAAGCCATACAAGTTTTTTATCTCTGCTCTTGCTTCTTCGAGTAAACTGTGCCCGTACTTGGGAGGCAACTCTTCTATGTTCTGCAACCTCATCCCTAGTAGGAAAGGTAGGTGGATGGAATGAAATAAATAAATAAACACATTTATTGACTGGGAAGTCAATCCAAGATGATAAAAAGCAATTGATACACCATCACCATTATCAATCTCCTTTATATATTTATTAAGTAAAATGCTTGGATGTGAACACAATACCCAAGAGGACATCTTCTATCCTCTTACATTCTGCAGCACAACTCTTGCCTCATTCAAACCCTAAAAAATAGTTGATCCTAAGGGGTGTGCCCCTGTACCCCTCTACAACTGATAGGAAAGCTTGGCCGCAGAGAAAGAGGTCCAACCCTTGATGAAATAGATGTGGAAATATGTGTCTTCCAAACAGAACTCTTATCCTATGGGTGCCTAATATTTATGCAACTTCATGGAGGCACAGGTTTTGCCCATAATTTTTTTTCTGCCTGTGAGGACCAGTGACATGACATCACTAGAAGGGGTGGGACTGAAATCTTCATTAAAAAAATAAATTATGAATGTGAAGCCTGTTGGAGATTTTAATCCACCTACTTTAGTGATTATTGTCACATCATATATACACAGATCAGAAATTTGTGTTGCTACACCTTGGTGGTTTGTCACCACATTTCCATATGTTATTAAGAGACTTACGGGAGGTGGTAAAGAAAGGTTGGCGCCACGTGCAAACTTTAAGGAAGGGTCTCTTCTTGCTCTGCATTAAGCAGATGTTCATCCACTAAGTCAAGTCATTTCCTATTTTGAAGTTGTTGTACACAGAAGTTTCTAGCCAGTATTTTCTACTCAAACTAGCAGTAATCATTCAAAGCAAGGAGTGGCAACTCTGAGGACATTTAGATAATGCTGGGCTGGATGGACTGGAAGTCTTATAATGAGAATATTGATGTTGACTCAGCAGAAATGGTGACTCAGGTCTAGGATCTCAGACCTGTATTCTGTGGCTCCTAGAGAGTTTGGAGCTGAACATCAAGCTCACTACAGCAAATGCCAAACTCCTGGAGGTCCAGGAGCATTTAAGAAATAGTAGAACGTAGATTGACTTTTAAAAGAGGAAAGGAAAACCCCAATAACTCCAAGAAATAATAAAAAATGGAAATGTAGCTAATTAAATCAACCAAAATTCATAGAATTAAATCAACTGAAATATCTCTGATTAATATCAACTTGCTGATGTGCTTAGTGTTGACACTGAGGACAAATGTTCCAACTATCCAAAAGCCTGTGAAACTATTTCTTGAGTATCTAGTAAATAGGTTTAACTTCTGACCTACTTGAAAGGGTGGCAATTAAAGGATCATTGAAATCAAATACCTTTCTTGGAGGGCTCTTGGACTCTAACACCTTCAGTCACCTTCTTGAGTCCTGTGTTAATGCGTGCCTGGACGTAATTGTAGGGCGTGTGTCTATGCCCTTGAAGCTGAAGTTGCTGCTTGGTAGAAATAAGCCTATTTCGTATAATTTCATTCTGCTTTTCTAGGTCCCGAACTTTCTCCTGCAGTTGCTCGACCACTTCCTCCATTTCGACATCCTGACCCAGCCGCTTGGGGCCGCCACTGACCTGCTCTGCTTTTTTCTTGTCATTAACAAGCCGTATTAACTTGGTGGCCATTCTAAGGAGACATAATATATATACATATATAGAAAGGAAAGGAGGGGGAAATCAGCATAAAAAGCATTTTGTTGAAAGGAGCATAATCACTGTGAAGACTTTAGTCTAGAACCTGAATAATAAATTTCAGGTTTCGATATAACTATTATTGCCTGTGAAGAAGTCTTTGAAGATAATTGAAACCACAGGGCAGCAATCTGCTTTATAGCACTGACAAATAATAGTTTCCTAAGGCTTATCATTTAAAGTTTAGTAAAGTGGGAAGGGACACATATTTACTCCATATGCTGCTCAAATTTGGAACGTATGACCTTCCTAAGGAACTTTGTGCTCTGGTAAGTATAGTTAAAAATTCGGGATGTGGTGGGGCCACGTATAAAGGCTACAGTTCCATATGATATTAAACTATCCAATGTATGCTTACAATATGTAACACATTCCATTGATGCCTTGCTTCCAGTCAGAATGCAAGAACAGGGAACAAAAACCATGCCATTTCTAAAAAAGAAAAAAAATGAGTAGGTGGACGAGGCAAGCTTTTAATCATTCACTGTATCTTGCTGCATCTTATACTTAGCAAATAACACACTTAGGAGAGGCTTAACAACTAGTGGTTGAATATAATTGAATGCAGGAGGAATGGTTTTCATCTAATTTTAAAAGGATACAAATTTTTGCTTTTGGCATCTCCAGAGTTGTACCTTTGATTCCTCTGAGTTTTGATAAACAGAGGGAAGCCAGAACAAAAGATCAGGGAGCGTGCAGGGGTGATGTAATACACGAAAACAGAAAATACTTGCAGCAAGGAAGAATAGGATCAGGGAGAAGGACTTGGCAGGCTAAGAAAGAAAAGGTGGCTTTGATGGAGGAGGGAAGTTCAAAACTCTACAAAATTGGTCGCACATCTCTAAGGGCTGCATCTACTTTGTAGGGAGGCATTTAATTTCTTTTTCTTTTTTGCAGAAATCCAGACGGGAGTCTGAAAATAGAGACACACTTCATCGATTTAAGGATTTCCTTTATTTTAGTACAGTAAACTCATACTTTCTTTAACAAAAAAGAAGGAAAGCATATGCATGAGAGCATGTTATTAAGCGCTTAGAGATGTCACAGAAGTGACTTGCTGTAGTGAACAACAATGGTTAAGGTCTAATGAAACTGAGTAGAATCTTTAAAATAATTTAAGGAGAGCTTGTTGAAAAAGGAAAAGGGTTAAAAACTGCAGAAAGGGACCCAACCTAATCACTATTTATTATTCCGTGACAGGATACATTCTTCAAGTATTTCACTTTATAAGCAATGCTTTAGGAGTCAACAAGGAAACCAGACCTTTTAATTTTATCCTCTTGCTTATGGGCATGTTGTTTCAGTAAGATGTTCTCCTCATGTAAGCGAAGGTATCGATCTTCCAGTTCCTCTCGGTTAATTCGTGAAACAACTTGCCGAGCTTTAACATTTTGGCCAGCTGTTGGTTCTGCAAAAAGAGGAGGAATCAAGGTGTTTTTTTTGTTTTGTTTTTAAGGTTACCATCAGTGTTGCTGATGGCAGATTTGAGTTCAGGAAATGTTTGTGAACTCCTCTGCAATGTCTGGCTGGAAAGCTGGGCTTAGAACAGAAGGTTGGGCTCATAGATGAAATGGGTCCTTCCAATTCCTATGATTTCATGAGACACTGGTTCAGATTCCAGCTCAGTGTAGAGGTTAGAGAGAATGGCCTTCAGGGACAAAAGAGCTGCTAGCAAGGCAACAGTCAGATAAAAGGGGCCTGAGTCCGGAGCAAGAAAGTAACACGAGTAAATTATAAGCTCCTCCCTAGTTCACAGGAAGATAAAGGGGCGGAAGGGGGAAGCACATTCAGACTTGCAAGATTCTGTTACTACGGCTTTACAATAAAAGGAGTATTGACCTACATGCATTGGTTTCCTAGTCTGATCTACCCTGAAAGGCTTACACTCAGACACCAAACAGGTAACCTTGGGGATCCATACATCACGTTAACCCTCTGTGAGGATGTAATCAGTACAGCGAAAGTCAGAATGGAAGGAGGCTAAAGTTTGCTTCATACTACATGCTAAGCCCAAACAAAACAAATGATATTTTATATATCCTCTGAGTTAATTTAGTGGGAGAACCTTTCTACAATGACGTTAAAGATCTAGTTGGTCAGTATGTCTAATAAGGGACACAAACCTGAATGTCCTCCAAGATTTAGACCCACATCTTTCACTGGGAGATCTTCTGATGTTTCATCAGCAGCAGCAGACATGGCTGAACTGTGAATGACACAGCACTACTAATTTTCTTCTCTGTTTGTAAAATAAATGGCACACAGTACAGGGCAAATTATATGGAAGTAAATTAAAAAAAAACACAGATAATTACAAATTTACGTGGAATTCTAACACTTGCTTCCCACCACACAAAGGCTACAGCACTGGGAACACATACTTATTCTAGATTTATTCCTGTAAGATATTTAAATATTTTTAAAACTCTTCACCCAGGAGAAGTACTTATTTAGTTTTCTAAGGAATCCCTGGGACTGAATACTGATAGACAGAAAATCAGGTGCTTCCAAGACCTGATTTGTGTACAATAGGAAAGCATAGCTTAGCCATCTGAGAAACAGCCATGTTAAGTGATAGCTAAAGATCAAAAGAAAATATACAAAGAAGTACTGTATATGGAAGTGGTGAAAGCTAGTATAAACTAGCTTTAGCGATGTTACATTTTCTTATCTCAGGCATTTAATTTCTTTGGCTTAGTATTTTTTTCCCTTTTCTTATGCTCCATACAGAATTTCTTGTTCTGAAAGGGAGTAACGTGATGGGTGCTTATGTTGTTATACTCAAGATGGGAAGAAAAATTTTAAATGAGCAAATTTAACAGTATATTCACAGAATTAATATTTGTCAAAAGAAGCAAAAATGGCTGCATGTAAGAGCCTATTTCTGCTTACATTGTTATACGGAAGTAAGAGTTGGGTATGTCAGAAGAAACATAAAAATAACTTGAATGTGGTGGGAATTGGTGATTTAAGACGTGCATGTGATAAAGCACATGTGGGTGATGAATGAATATGGACTGAATACAAAAGTGGGTGACCAGTATGAAAAAAGCACATTAATGTGGTTTGGAAATACAGAATAATGAAGATTGAATCACAAAACAAATATAGGAAAGAAGAGTAGGTGAGTTAATAGGAAGGAAAGACAGAAAATCATAGTTGGATGGTTTTGATGAGATCTTGAAAAAGAGAAAGGTAAGTTTAAAAACAAAAAGCATTGTAGATGATTCACAAAGAACAGAATGATATGGAAAGGTAGAGTGAATAGGGTATGTATAATCACAATTTAACTACAGTTCCTGTGCTAATTCTCTTTCCATAATGTCCCTTGCACAAAAACAGAACATTGAGATATTTGGAGGTATGTATATATGTAAGCTACAGCAATCCTCACTATGGCTGTATTAGAAACTACATTCTGTACATGGAATATTCCCGATTGACCACAGCTGTAGTATCATTTGAAACTGACCAGCTTTGGTTAATTTCTGCTGCAGCTTGTTGAAAGAAGCACCTTTAAACTTTGACTTATGAAACTTGAGTAAACCAAAGTTAAGAGCAACCAGTTCAAACAGAACAGGAAGCCTTTCGGTACAAACAAAAGACAAAGTTAGCTTTATACACTTAAACTTTGGGAATCAGCCCTCTGGATACTTCTAAAGAAAAATTCATGGCATAATTCCTTAAATTAGCTGACAGACCTAATTTTATATACTATACTGACAGAATTATGCCAGTACATTCTTTTCTGGGCTTCCCAGGCTTCAGGCATGAGGCTAGTGGAAAACAAAAAGAAGACACTTTCAGTTCCCCTCCAGAAATCTCAGATAATACTTTTCTTATTACCTTTGGGGGAACAGGTGATTTTTTTCTTTCTCTCTCAGACTGTTTACCATTTATAGTTTGGCAATTCAACACTGTATTTCCCAGCTTTCCTGAATCACCACTTAATCGTGTTGCTTGTACATATGTGCATACACGTACCTGTTTACATTGCTTCTAAAGCACATGGATAAATGCACACTCATACCTATGTGCATATACTGCTCACATACATGTACCCAGTCTAGTGTGTTGGGACTACAAGATGTTGTATTCCCTCAAAATCCTGATACACCTGAAGAGCACCGACAGGAGAAGCATGACCGAGACACAGTGTGTATATTGTATAAGCAGGTAGAAGTGCATGTATCTAATGCTTGCTTTGTGTGCACGTGCATCGGCCTTCCTCAGCATACCCTGTGGATATACTGGACCACCTCAGGGCATCTACCTACAGGACCATGGCTGGTTAGGACTTAGGAGTGCTAAACTTCCCATAATCCCCATCAGGACATACACACAAATATCCATTTAATGGCTGCATTTTATTGCCTTGCTTTTAACAAGGATGGTGTACAAATCTTTCAGACAAATACATTACATGAAGCCCTTTGCAGGCCCTGTTCACAGCAGCCCCTGCAAGGACAAATGAATGGAACACCCAGGGGTATAAATAAAAATCATGTGTGTGTATAGATGTGATATACCTAACATATATAAAACACATAAACACACACACACACACACATATATATATATGAACATACACAGTATTTTATACACACACATATATATGAAAATACACAGTATATCATATATATATATATACACACACACACATCTATCTATCTATAGATAGATATATGAAAATACACAGTATATATATACATATATATACATATATATATATACATATATATACACACACATGCATATACTATATATATATATATAAGAACATGCATATATTTTATATATATATACACACACACACAAATTATATATGAAAAATACAATTTATCATCTATACCCATGCACATCTTATGAATGAACCTACAGTATACAGCATTTTATATATATATACACACACACACAAATTATATATGAAAAAT